ACAATGTATTATTTATATACAGTCAAGAGAATAACTCATTTAATTAACCTATTCATGTACCGGAAATCATTTAATCAACTTTACCAATATCTCATTTAACTATGTTGGTGTTGAGTAACATTTATTTCCCCTTGTTTTCCTCAGATTTAGGGAGGTTAAATAATTTCTGCAAGGTTTAATAGATATTATTTAACAAATCTTTAAATTAAATAGACATCCAGCTCTTTTCAAAGTATTTTACCCTTAAATGGTACACTATTTCTCACAAATTCAAGAACATTTCAATTTCAATCAATATTAATTACGAAACTACTGTGAGCTAGGCATTATGTCAGACACAAAGATATAATAATGCCAGCTAGATTTAAATACTATCATCTTAGTAAGCATTGTGCATTTGGAGAAATGTGAAGATAAGGAATGAAACATACCCAAAGCATAAAATGAATTTTACTTAAATATATGTACATACACATACATATATACATTTATACATACCCAAGCATATCAGTGTTCTTAGGGTACAAATATCTTTTTTATAAAGGAAGCATTCCATTTGGTTGAGAGTCTGATATTGGCAGGCCAATGAACTGGGAAATTTTCCAGGAAAAATCTACCATGAAACATTCCATTGATCCAAAACTTTAAATTAATGCCACCCTTAATTCATTTAAACAACACACTTGGTGTAACATGTGCTTTCAAAAGAGTCCAGGTGAGAATAATAGGAAGCCAACATGATAATCTTCTTGTGTGGTCCTTTATAAATTTGAGGTTGATTAATTATGATTCCTTAAGAAGCTTATGACACTTGAGTGTGAGTTATAAAATATCCTTATCTTGCAGAAAATTCATTAGTAGACTCTGGCAATGTACATAACTATCTAAAACCAAAATATTTCTACTAGTCTCAGAATCTCACTATAATCATGTGGTTGAGTACATTCCTGCCTCTCCTTGGAAATTATCTAAAGACAATTTATTCCAAATATACTTAACGGAAATGTACCCCAGGGGATGTGTTAAATTACATGGTTACATTGATAATCCCAGACTAATAGAAACATTTTGTATCACCTAAACCCATTGGGAGCTAACAATTATTTAATGACTTTACAGGGAGTTTAAGAAGCAGAGGGCAAATTAGGCTGGAGAGTTTCTGTGGTTATATTCAGATACTCTATGCACAGATACAGCTGCTTACAAGGAAAATGCATATTGCTTTTCAGAAATAAGAACCAGGGTTTTTAGCTTCCATATAAATGGAAATTCAGAAATATAAAGCAATCTTCTCTTCTGTTTTCAATAAAACTTTATGTTCTTTTCAGCTAATTCTTTTTTACATGCTTTACCCACATCAGAGGCAAGCTAAAACACTGAAGTCATTTATATGAATTATGTAAATAAGTTGACCCACTGTCTCTGTTCAGTAAGTGCCATATGTCACAGTAAAGTACTTACAAGGGAAACCACCACAGAAAAAGAGTGCCACTCACTTGGCACTTTAAATAATGAACACATCAGTGTTCTGTGCCAGTACATCCACTATAGACTAACCATCCCTAGATATCACTAGAATAAATATAGTAATCTTTTTTTTTTTTTTTTTGAGACAGTCTTACTATGTTGCCTTTGGTAGAACACCTTGGCATCACAGCTCACAGCAACCTCAAACTCTTGGGCTTAAGCGATTCTCTTGCCTCAGCCTCCCAAGTAGCTGGGACTACAGGCACCTGCCACAACGCCCAGCTATTTTTTTGTTGCAGTTGTTTAGCTGGCCCAGGCCGGGTTCGAATCCACCACCCTTGGTGTATGTGGCACCGTAACCACTGTGCTACAAGCGCCAAGCCTAAATATAGTAACTTTTTATTCACAAATATTTCTATAGTTCTTTCTCAGGCACTGTGGCCTTTACTAGTGATGAAATCTGGTCTACAGTACAACAGGAAGAGAAAATCTGTACAAAAATAAAAATGATATAAGGGAGAAATTAATCCAAAAGGAATGTGCAGAAAAATCTAGTAGAAAGTCAAAGGGAAAAGAGAGCATTTTAGGGGAAAAGACTCTGACAAGCCTGATGAAAGTTTTACCATCTGAACTGAACCCTGGGGGATAGTTACAAGTCAGACTGCAAGGAAGGACATTCTAGGGAGAAGGGAACAGCCTGAATGAAAGCACGGAGGGAAGAGAACATGGCGGGGGAAAGAAGGGGTGTACAAAATTCTATTTGACTAGAGTGTAAAGGCAAGTGATGGAAGATAATTAGAAAGACTGGCAAAGGCTCCATTGAGTGGTCCCTGAACACCATGGTGAGGTCTAGTAATAGACTGTTCTCCATACTTGGGATTAAAAACTGTTATGTGAAAAATCCAAAATGCCATGACTAATTCTACTGATAAAGCAGACCTTTTCCAGACAGCATGGGAGATAGCACCAGGAATATACTATCTAATCTCAGACAGTTCTCTTCTTGAGAAAGTGCACATGTAAAACATTTATCATTCACAAGCCGTCCAAAAGGGACATCCAAAGTCAACAGCAATGTGTATGCCAGCAGATTGAGCTCAACTTCCTCTGCACCAGCCTGATACATTCTTTTGGCATTTCATATAGGAGCAAAAGAAGTGTATTATTCTTAAATTGCATTGTAAAGTTTATCTTTCGTTTAGTTGTTACCACTAACCCCACACTAAAAACGGTGTAAGTCAGAACTGGAGGCTTTTTTGGTGAGGATTAGATATAAATTTAAGATAACATGATAACAGATAGTGTGTTTTTTTATTGTTGCCTTCATTACAGGAGACTGAGCTTAGAGACTTGTCTAAACAGAGTTCTCATCAATTCATCACCTTACTTTCACCTTCCTTACTCACAGACTAATCCTTCATACTTCTCTGTTTTAATTACTAATTAGTTAGTGTCTATTAAGGAGCATGGGACATGGCCAAGAACAGCAACTCAGTAAATGTTTGCTGAATTGATGACTGAATGAATAGATGGGAGAGGTATGGGGTAAAATAGCAGTCCTGCGATATACCTCCTCTCGGCAAGAGTTTAGCTAGAGGAAACAGCACTGGTAGCAAACCAAATCATCTGAAAGTAGACAGGTTCAAACACTTCACCATAAATTGCCAGTAGCATGGACAAATGGCATCATTTGCACGTATTTCACAGTTGATAATGAATTACTTCATGTCACTATGCAGAAAAAAAAAAGTCCTCAGTGGACTTGGTAGGTCAGAACACTGGTGGCTTAGGCCATGCTAAATTAAAGTACTGAGGGGCTGGGAGACTCAGCACTAATGACATATGGGGTACGTTGTAGAAATAATTGTAACATCAATTTGGTCTCAGTTATTTTAAAATATCATAGGAACAAAACTCTTTACTGTTGACCATCTAATGCACTCGGTAAAGGCTGTAGTGACTACATGCAAGGAACCAGGGTAAAACAGACAGGTAAAACCATTTCTGGTCCTTTCATTAGCAGATTACTAGATTTTCCTCTCAATGGCCTTTTCATCTCTGTCCTTATTTTATCCAACTTGAAAATATCCATATTACAGTTTCTCTTTTCCCTATAAGGCTTTGAGTTCTGAGAATAAACAACGGATATCCTAGGATTTGAATGGAATTACCATGTAAAAGTTCATTCTTTACACTGGGAAAGTTAATGTAGGTATTCTCTAAACAAAAACAAACAGAAAACAACCAATATGAAAAATGGCTCCCTGAATGTCTATATCACCACCCCATTCATTCACAGCAGCTCTGTAATGCGAATTATGATCTGATTAATCCCACCTTCTTTGTAAGAAAGCCGAGACAATAAAGAGTAAATAATCCATGGGGCACCTTCCTCTTAGTTCTCCCAGAAAAACTCTAGCGCAAGTTGTTTATTTGGAAGACGCAAGGAATGCTAACAGGCAGAGGGGAAATGAGGCAGGGAGGGGACCGGGACTGTTAAGCCTGCTCCCACAGGGGATACCTGGAGCTTATTCCTTCAGGGGCTAAAAGCTGCCGAAGGGTATTAATTCCTCAGCAGAACAGCCTTCTCCTATCCTAGAAAAAAAAGTCTCAGACAGAGAAATGCAGATACTGGATTTGGAAGTCAGCCCAAGCCTACTAAAAAGTCTGAGAAATATTGGCAAGCCACTCAGAGCAGCTGCTACACACATAATTTGCAGCATAACTAGATCTCTGATATACGGTACCCTAAATTTCGAGTGTATATTTTTACCCCCTACTGCGAAAATACGATGCTTTCTTAGAGTAAATATATACCCCTTAAGATAAGTCTAGGCTGCAGACACCATCTGTGTGAAAGAAAACAGGGACTACAGATCCACCCAGTTAACAGCAGCCAACAGTGCTTGAATGCTTGCTTTGTAACAGAAACCACGCCAAGGATTTCATGTGTATCATCTGAGTTGAATTCTCACCCCAAATCTATGAAATAAAAGATTGTCAGTGCCATTGCCACATGACAGAGGAGGAAAGCCAGGCACACAGAAGTTTGGTTTCCAAGGCAGTTAGCTGCTAAGGGTGGTGTTGAGAGTCAAATCCAGGCAGTTCCACACTACTGGCTCCAGCCCTACTCATTTTAGAAGCTGAAGGTGAATAACAAAATCCATGTTTGATGAATAAAAAAAAAAAATCCTAGAATTTTAAGTGTAACCTGCGGCATTGATGATGTTCAATCGTTACCAAAATTTAACACTTCCAAGTTCATGTGATGAAGACATCTCCTCCAACTGCATTATATATACTGTTTTTTCTTCTTCTTCTTCTTTTGCAGTTTTTGGCCAGGGCTGGGTTTGAACCTGCCACTTCCGGCATATGGGGCTGGCGTCCTACTCCTTTGAGCCACTGTGCCACCCTATATATACTGTTTTTTACTAAAATTGTCTCCATGCTTGCAAGTGTATATGTAAATAAACCACTGGATATATACCAACATCAAAATAAAATAACAAGCAGACTTTATGGACTAACAGTACCTTCACTGTCCACATCCCAGCCTCCGGCTCCTTTACATTTACCACTTTGGCAGAGTTGTGGATATTCAATAGCTCATTCAGGCCAAATCCCTTTTTTATCAGCTTCCCTAAAAGACAAACATAAAGATAACAAACATAATCTTTCTCTCAGCTACGTATGCCAGCTAGTTTAACACTACATAAACTAAGAGCATGATCACATTTCAAATAACAGGCGTGGTTTTTACTCAAGTGTGCTGCAAACTAACGTAAAGAGCCTTTATTCTCTCTTCCGTGGCTACAATGAAGGGCGCTCCATTTCCAGTGTGTATTACCTAATGGACATCAGTGCCCATAGCTCAAAACATTACGTACATCTCAAATATACTTAATTTTAGGGTTTCTGGGCATTGGGAACTAAAGTAAGAGATTCTCATTTGTTAAGCTGATTTGATTGTAAAATGGGAATAACAACTGGCAGAATGTCGTCGTATTTCAGGAAGCCAGACGAGATAACAATTACAGTGGCCATAAGAAGTTACGTGTAGTCACTAGAGACATTTAAATTCAATATATGGCAGGCACTGCAACCCAGAATAAGTGTCTTTCTGGAGCTCATTCAAGGTATTACTAAAATGAGAGGCCTGGGCATATCTTTCCACAAAGTATAAAACTTGAACCAGTTTTCCATGAAGCACAGGAGAAAGCTTTTCACTGTCATAGGAATCATGAAAGGAGGGAATGTAATGAAGGAACCTGATCCCATCCCTTACCCAACCGAGATTTATCTCAAGTATCTAATAGTTGGAACTTGGGAAGAAAAAAGTAAGTTGGGATCAAACCACAGTCTCTCCTATGGACTACTTCTATAGTTACAGAAACAAATAAATTACAAGGATCATGTGTTTAAATCAAAAGTTTTACAATCATTGTATGCCCAAAACTGTCTAAAGTAGTAGACACATACGTGTAATTCAATGGGTACCAGTACTTCTAAGTGTTCAGGTAGTGGAAAACACAAGTCTTTCCTGGATAACTGGTTTGTGATCATAGTGGAATCCTTTTTTTTTTTTTTGAGACAGGAGCTTCAAGCTGTCCACTAGGTAGAGTGCCGTGGCATCTCAGCTCACAGCAACCTCCAACTCCAGGGCTCAAGCTAGTCTTCTGCCTCTGCCTCCCAAGTAGCTGGGACCACAGGCACCCACCACAACGCCCGGCTATTTTTTGGTTGCAGCCATCATTGTTGTTTGGTGGGCCCGGGCTGGATTCAAACCCACCACCTTGGGTGTATGTGGCTGGCGCCTTAGCCACTTGAGCCACAAGCACCGATCCATCATAGTGGAATCTTACCTCAACAGAGAGATCTACTTGGAATACTATTCAGCCATAAAAAAAGATGGAGACTTCACATCTTTTATGCTTACCTGGATGGAGCTGGAACATATTCTTCTTAGTAAAGTATCTCAAGAAGGGAAAAAAAGGTACCCAACGTACTCAGTACTACTATGAAATCAAGATATAATCACCTACACATTCATACGAATGGTAAAACATAACTATAGTCCAGAAATAGGAAGGAAGAGAAGTGGGGGGAAGGGGTGGCTGGGAGTAGGGAGGATATTTGTGGGGGACCTCACCTAATGTACATAAGGCAATGGTACATCTCAAAACTATTAAGGAAAGAGTATAATTGTCTTACCACAACAAATAAGTAAGTGAGGTGATGGATGTGTTAATCAGTTTGATGTAAGCATTTCACATTGTATATCAAATCAGTACACTGAACCCCATAAATGCATCAATGTACACAGTTATGATTTAATAAAGAAAAAAAAAATCTACTTACAAGGCCAAACCTGTAGATTGAAGTTTTTAAAAAGAGCTATTGTTTTGTAAATTTCAATGTATTTACTTTAATTGTTTTGTAAATTTCAACATGCAGATGTGGCCTCTGAGGAAAATTTCATATGCTATTTTCTTTTAGGAATTAGTTGCTTTCTTCTAAGACTTAACTAAAGCAAGAAAACTTGTTATTCACCTCCCCATTTATAAATATTTACAAATAGAGGGGGAAAATGCAACTAAAACCACAGTGAAAACACAATTATTTTGCAAATATCAATAGGTTAAAAAAAATTCTAATAAAAATATGAAGGAAAAATTAAAGATTTTTATCATTACTAGATTGCTTTTCAGTGTAAATCTGATTATAATTAACAACGCACAATAGAATAGGGCAAACCGTATGGTTTTAGAATGTAATTAAGTGAGGAAGCAAGGTAAATTAAAAGATCACTAAGAATAAATATTTGATTTTTAACACTTTCTTCTGTAAAATCAAGCCTTATCAAGTAAACTACACAGTGAAAAATTAGACAGTTCTTTTGGGAGGTTTTTAAAAAAATAACATAAAATACTGAATTTTACAGAATAAGTTACTGTAAAATATCTCCTCACATATAGATTAAGAAAATACTGTTTCAGGTTTAATTTTGATACTTCTCTTTGGATAATTTACAATTAGTTTGCTCAATCTAATCTGTTTAAATATTAGCAGTTCTAGCATTTGGATCACATATTAATTCCATGATATTTAGGATTTTAAAAATGTTATCTTAAACATCTTTCCTAGCCACTTCTGAAGGTATTGAATTTATTCATAAAGTTAACATAAATTGACATAAACAAGTATGCAAAAAGCCTTTTACTCTCAACAGTTTTTGTGTTTTATTAGTTCTCACCTAATGGATTGCGGATTTCAATCATTGGAGAAGGTCCGCTCAGAGACACAGTGACTTCTTTTAGACTGGGGTCAAAAGGAATTTTCCAAGTATTTACAGCATGTTCCAAATGATCTGTGGATAACAGGTGAACCTTGGAGGCCTGCACTGCTTCTTCTACCCATTTTAATACCTAGAAGAAAAGAAGAGAAATGTGAGTGATACCAGAAAGCATTTCTAAACCATCACTGCTTCAGACGCCTTGGGTCATCACGTGACTCAGGAGCTTCCTGGACTGGAGAAGTTTATTTTAGAAATGAGTAAAGACAGGCCTTTTCCTACCTCAAATTATTGTAAATTCAGGATAAAATGCTGGCATAATCCTCATTCAAATTCAAATTTGGATCTTGGAACAATACATTTCAAAATGAGAATAGAGTGCCCAAAAGCCAGTAGTGTGGAGCATACAGAGATATTACAGTCTCCTATGTCCCAAGATAAGTGAAAAAGAACCTACCCAAAACACAGTAGTACCAATACTGGGCAAAGCCTTTTTCTTCCATTCTTCCTTTTTGGGTTTTATTTCTTCTCAGATGCAATTTGTAAAAGATACCCACTTAGAAAATTATCCAATTCAACTTTATAAATTGGGCATATTAATCATGGCCTTATAATTGTAATGGTACAGTATATATAGTGTATTAATTATTGAAAAACAATTGCAGTGTCCACAAAATAGGCATTTTATGATAAAATGAGTACATACAAAAATAATGGGAAAGTATTTTATTTTATTTTATTTTATTTATTGAAGTTTTGGGCCAGGGCTGGGTTTGAACCCGCCACCTCTGGCATATAGGGCCGGCGCCCTACTCCTTTGAGCCACAGGCTCCACCCTATGGGAAAGTATTTTCTTTAAAGAAGATAAAAAAATATTTCCAATTGGAACCAATTTAAGTAGTGTGTATTTGAAAACTAGTCTCTAAGAAAATATTAAGAGATTGGGTGATAAAAGAGTGTTAATGCCTCACCGTGAACAAGGAAAACTTCCAATTTACACAGTGTTCTGTAACAGCTAAGTAATTCCCTATTAGACAAACAGCGCATGTCTGGATAGGCACTGCTTAGCTACTCTTACTACAATTAATACTAAATCACGATCATCTTTTTAACCCACCTCATCTTTCTCTGGTTCAAGTATATCACTTGAAAATTATGTAATTGGGCATAAGACACAGAAGAGAGCTAGATATGAACCTATAATCAAGCTGCTAAAAATGAATAAAAGCATTTGTAAAATTTCAGTAAAGGTAATACAAATCAAGTAATGAAGCAATAAAGACCATGCAACATCTTCATTTCCTATAAAAAGTATCCTTTTCCTTTTTTTTCTATTACCCTCAAGAATAAGTGGAGCAGCTAAGACATATTATTATACAATTAACAACATGAAGAAATTATAAAATCAATGTTTCTGTTAATAGTTCGTGAACTATACTTGCCCATGTATAAAGTACCAATGAGCATATTTTAGTCAATATTCGGTAACTGCTTTTCTTCACTGAACTACTATTGACTGAAGTTTTTGTATTTATTGTATGTTATTTATTTTTCATAAATCTTTCTGCCTTTGCTCCAGGGTCAAAAACCATATCTCCTGTTTCTTTGTAGGTCCAAAACCAAGTGGTATGTTCCCATGTGATAAAGATGGAATATTTACTAATGTCAAAGGAAGTTGGTCATAACAATGATGATAATGATTCTTCTTAAATAGGAGAATATTATGGGAATTCATGAAATAAGGAATGCTTGCTGAAATAATACACGTAAAATGCCATCACAGTCCTTCCAGATAGTAGAAATTCAAACAATATTAGTTTCCTCCCTTCCCAACTAAATTTCCTTCTGTTTCCCTAGTTGAGTGTTTGAGTGATGGCTTTGTAGGCAAAATAAAACAATCTGGCTATGAAAGACAAAAAAGATTTCTATAAATTAAAAAAAGAGGCAAATTCATATCAGGTGGAAGAGAGTATTTGAGCAAATACACAGACAGAAGTACTTCAAATATATTGGGAATATGATCAACCCATCAGCAAGGAAGTACTCAGATTAAAAAAGCAGCAGCAGATTAGGTTGGAAGTTTGTGACAAGACAAGGTGCTGAGTATTCATAAATTTAGGCCATGACACTTGGATTTTATGCTAAAGACCTAATGAAAATTATTGAAGGCAGAAGAACGGCACATTGAAGGTTATATTTAAGAAAGAAAAACTTGTAATGTCATCATAGATGAATTGAGCCGAAAAACAAAATCCATTTCACATTAATTACAAACCAAGTGATATATTTCTTCAAAATTTAACCTTATAATGCATTTAGAATTTTTTGTATGAACCAAAGTATATATCAACACAATTGTTTAAAGAAGCAGATGTGATTATTTCAACCCATTTGAAAAAATGGGTTCTTAGTGATCTATCATGCTTGAACAGAAAAGTAAAGATTGTTCTGCTCATCAATCTGTCCAGATGGCTACAGAGACCAGACTGATTATCTGGAATATTTGACCATATATAGAACACATAGTTTAATAATCAGAGTGTTGACGTATTTTATGTCAACATACGACATGCCATTAGAGGTCTCACTCATTCAAGAAAATGGAAAAGATTAATGTAGGGTCTGAGCAATCATTTCATAAGTTTAACTGGTAATAAATAACTTTGAGGATAATACCTGACATAATGAGTGTAGAGACTGAAGAGGGCAAAGGACAGAGAGAAATCAGACACATGGACAAAAAATGCGTTTTAAGCACAAGACATCTAATGTGGTCAAAAATGATTCTCAATTGCAAAAAGAGAAAAAAGGATTAGCAAACAAGCACCACTAAGAATTAGCATCTCAAGTTTAATAATGAAATGCAATAGCATTAAGGAAAGCTGGAAGTAAAGTCAATTTTTATATACATCCTCCTTTAAATTTATGGTATATGTCTGGGTGGTTACTCCAATATATCTTTCCTTCAAATCCAATGTAGAGAGGTCTGATATACTACTGGAAACCTATCTTGTCATCTGTCAGCTACACATGAAAATCCCTGCCTTCCATGAGAAAATGGAAGCTCTCCCAATTTAGTTGCATTTTCATAAGGCAAATGTGTTCACATGGTACAAAACCTAAGTGCACCATGGTTTACTCTTAATACCACTTCCAATTCATCAACATTTATGAGGCATTCACAAAGGGATTACCATGTATCATAATATTACTTGTTGGGAAAGACATAGTACAGACTTCTGTCAAGAGTCTCCAATCACTTTTTTATCCACTTATAAGAAAAATCAAATTGAAAACAGATGTAGCTCATTTTATTAGAAAAATACAGATACTATCAAGATGTGAATAACATGAGATTACTGCAAGCTACAGAATACGCCATAAGTGAAGTTTCGGGCCTCTCAGGTTTCCAGAGATAAGAAAAAAAATCTCTGATTGTCTAACTATGAGAAATGTTCTCCTGAGATTAGAAACGATCTTCTATTATAATGACAGAAGGAATAAAACTAGAATAATGTGACAGCCTTTGTATTGTGCATTTTTATCAACACAAAAATTTTTTCAAACCATTAGGGGACTGTTTATAGTACATTAAAAGTTTTAATGCAAAAATGGTTCTCTAAAGATTTATAGCAGTTTATATCTACAAAGGGCCTTTGAGACCATCTAATCCAGCTCCTTAATTTGATAGATGAGGAACCTGATATTTGAAAGAGTTCTTGTACTTTTTAAAACGATCTAACCAGACTGATTCTGGCTCAATAGCAACATTTTTATATACGTCTTTCGTGTTCCTAAAGACACTTGTGTAGTATAAAAATTTTGCACCCTATGTAATAGTCAAAATAAGTAGTCTACTCAACTCTGGAATGAGAGCACAAAGCCAGCGTACATTATGATTCATGATGAAGTGCAAATGACATTAAGTAGAAAGGGAAATGAAGTCAATTTTTGCATACATCCTCAACAACACAACGTGAAGAATAGCTTTGTTTTGAAGAACCTTACTTGTGTAATGAATTACATTCAAATGAACTTCCCTAGGAGAGACTTTGTCTTCTTGGTGGGAAAGAGTAAATAAAAGAAAGTGTTCAACACAATGAGCAATGATGCATCTATTTTTATTTTTGTTATTGTTCTTTATAAGCTGTCTTCCCTACTAAATTGTAAGTTCTGTGAGCACAGAGACCATGGCTGATTTGCTCACTGCTCTAAGCCCTTGAACCCAATACAGTTCATGGGATATAGGAGATTCCTAATTAAGGACGTGTGGGAGGAAGGGGTAAAAGAAGAACGAAAAGAAAAAGAAGGGCCTAAAAAGGGAAGGAGGGAGGGAAGAATTTTACATCAACCTTTACCCTCAGAGCTAAAAGTGTGCTAAAAAGCAGCATTTGGGTCCTGTGCCTATTTGGGACAAAGTCCTCACTCAGCCCTGAATTTTGAACATCAAAGTTGATTAAGATCCAAACTTGTGTACATAGTTTTAAATGTAAGCAATGGGCTGTATTTAATTTTATTTGTTTATTTAGATGATTACCTTAGGGTTTAAAATGCAAAAGAAAAAATTTAGAATTAAGCCTGTTTTTTAAAAATGGAAAAATGCGTGCTCCTCTTTAGCACTGGGTACAGATTTTTCAAGCTTGATGATGGTAGAAATTTGGTTACAAGTGAACGCACCCACCTGATAAGTGGAGCCTATCCTGGAAAAAAATTGGGATGATACTATTACTAATACCTGCAAGCACTTTTGCAGTGCATATTATATGCCAAATACTGACAGACGCTTTATGTTGATTTTTACAATAACCGTTCAGCATAGGTACATAGGTATGATTATCTCCACTTTAGAAATGAATAAAAATGTCATGGAAGTCAAAGTTCATAAGCCGAGCAAATGGCCAGGAGGCAGCACTTTCCTTTGGTCTCATCATCTTGCCTTTCACATTCTATTTTCTGGATTATCATAAAAGAAAATGGCAGTTTCAAAAAGTGAATGTGAATAATAGCCAGTGAAAAACAGAAATCAATGCAGGTATTTTTAAAGAGAAATGGCATGCAAAACAGAGTGATTAGATGAGCTGTATGTTTTTGTTTGTTTGTTTGTTTGTTTGTTTTGGCAGTTTTGGGTCAAGG